CCTCTCAGGTGCACCAGGGCTCGGATGTCCTCCGGCGAGGCCGTCGCGAGCGGGGCCAGACGAGGCGGTGGCTCTCCGTGCAGCCCCCCGGCCAGGACCCTCGCGAGCTGGGGCGTGCACTCCTGGGCCGGGGTCAAAGGTGGCCGTGGTCGCGGATCCCCCCCCCCAGTCTTCCGCCCGTGACTCGTCTACCCTGCCCAACTCACCTCCTCAACCAGGGCCAGAACCCGGCCCCCTGCCGGTCCACGCAGCATCGCAGCCAGGAGGGCCGCTTGGGGGCCCTGCAGGTCGTGGGCAGGCCCCAGGGCCACCAGCACCAAGTCAGGCCGGAAGCCATAAGCCAGGGGCAGCACCAGGCCCAAGAGCCAGCTCAGGAACCCCTCGGTCGTCTGTGGGGACGACAGCGACCCAGCAGCTGCTCATCCAGGCCTGGCCCTGCCTGGCTCCCTATCCACACCCCGGCCCCCACCTCCCAATCTCAGGGCCCTGACTCTCATGACAGTGCATTCCTGGGGCCCCCACGCATCTGCCTGCCACGTGGCGTGGACACTCACCCCTGGCAGTGGCATGGAGATGTGGAACATGGACCGGGCAGCTGCCTCCTTGCCCCTGATGTTCAGCCACAGAGTCCGCCTTCCAGGACATATGCACATATGTGTGAGACCCTGCTCGCCTCTGGGCCAGGGCAACAAAGGCAGAGCAACTCTAGGGGCCATGGGCAGGGAGGGGAGCAGGGTGCTTCAACTGCTGACCTTCCGTGCGGGAACCCACCTGCCATTGCCCCTGGGGCCCCTTCCCAAGCCCCAGCTGAAGAAGGCCCCATTCTGTACCACACAGGGCCCCACCACTACCCCTGGGGGTCCAACCACATGCACAACCAGACAGATGCATGACCCAAGAGTCATACCCGTCATCGGTGAGGTCCGGGGGCGGGTCCAGCTGTCCCAGGGCCACACAGAGCAGTCTGGGGAAAAGTTGCCCCAGACAGGCAGTGTTCATACTGCTAGAGTGCATTCCCAGAGCCCTCCCCACGTGGCCATCTGGGGCAGGGGGTACCCACGAGTGCTGCCTCGGAGGCTCAGGATGGCCAGGTGAGGCTCACCTCTGGGCTCCGTGGGCCAGGCTTCTCCGAGTGGCCACATCCAGGGTGGCGGCTGCAGCAGGGGCCGGGGTGGCTGCAATGCCACAACTCACCTTTGGGATGAACAGCAGTGGTGGGTGACACAGACCCACGCGTTCCTTCCCTCAGTCTCTAGCCACACGGCTGCTGTCAGCCCTCCCTTGCACTCTGAGGTCAAATCACACCTGTAAACATGATGCTAAAGTCCATGCTTGAATATTCCCCTCACCTCCCTGCCAAAGAGCACTTAGTTGAGGCTGAGGTGAGGTCACTGGTGATCTGCGTCCCTGGGACCATGCTGGGAATAGTTCCCAGCACAAGGTGATACCATGTCCCTGTGGTTCTGCACTGCCTAGCCCTCCTCTGGACAGGCACACCTCGTAGGCCCTGGCCCTGGGTCCACAGCACCCCCAGCCCCTGCCAGGTACCCCACCTGCCCATCCAGGATCCCGTCTAAGAGATACAGGAGTCTCTCGAGGGCAGTGACAGCCTCATCCTGGGCCAGGGACTCGTGTGGCCTGTGGAGGAGAGACCAGAGGAGCACACATGCTCAATGACCACTCGTGAGTCACACACACATGCACAGACACAGCCCCAGCCCTCTCCCAGGCCAGCCCTGCCCACCTGGCCCAGGCTTCTGCCTCCTCCCTCAGGGCTGACCCCTCCTGATGGAGAACATCCGGGGGCAGGGCTAGGGTGGCATCTGGAAGCGTCAGGGCAACCGCCGTGCAGATAGGGGGGACGGTGCAGCAATGCCTCTGGTCTGGGAGGGAGCTCAGCACAGCTGCTGCCACTGCTGTGCACACGGAAGCCCCAGGCAGCAGGGGCGGAGCCCTCCCCTCTGAAGAGGTGCCGGAAGTCAGCACAGGTGACACACCTAGGGACAGCTCAGAGTCACAACTGCTACTGGGAGCCCGAGGCCGGTTGCCCCCAGCCCAGATCCTAGCCCCGCTAACCTTGCTGCTGGAGGCTTGTCCAGTGCGGGGCCTGGGCGGCTCGGGCCCTCTGGATGGACTCCAGGGCGCTATGGGAAGGAGTGGGATGGTGACACCTAGCCTCCTGCCCACCCTGCCCGGCCTTCCACCTGGCCCTGCCCACCTGCCTCCCTCGCACCTCTGACTTGGCACCATGGGCCCCGACAGGGGGGGCGCCGGGTCACCCAGCAGCGCCTGCACTGTCATGCACACCGACTGTGCTAGGGACTCCAGGTGGTAGCCGCCCTGGGAGGAGGGCAGAGATGTGACAGGGCAGGGATGTTGCCAGGAGGCCCCATCTGGCTCACCACCCAGGTGGGACACCCTCCCTGCTGCACATGGGCACCTGGTTCCCAGCTCAGCGTGGTCGGCCCCACGCCTCTGCCCGGGAACCTCCCCATCCCATGCCCAACCCACTCACTTCCAGCACAGCGCAAACCCGGCCGCCAGCCAGCACCTGCAGCAGCTGTGTGAGGTGCGCGAAGCACTCTGGGGTGGCCTGCATCTGCCCCTGGAACCAAAGCCAATGCGATGGGCGCCTGGGCCCCCGGACCCCACTGCCCTCCCTAACCAGGCCAGGCCCTCACCTCGGGGTCCATGATGGCCGAATCAAACCCTGCTGCGACCAGCACCAGCTCCGGGTCAAACTACAGGCCAGAAGGAGGAGAGGGGCAAGAACAAGGCTGGAGGGCAGCCTGGTGCAGACTCACCACCTCCTGGGTCCCCAGGAGTGGAGTGGCTCAAAGCTCTTCTGTCTTCGTGGTCGAACTCCAAGCACCAAGTGCCCCTTCTGCCTGCCCACCCTGGGACCACCACTGCGTAGTCACCTCAAAGGCCAGCGGGAGTAGCAGGTGCAGGAAGGCAGCCATGTAGTCAGCGTTTCCCATTCCTACCTGGGGGGAGCATGTCAGTGGGCCAGCGCTGCAACAGGTACCCTGGCTGGACACCCAGGCCAGGGGGGGTACAGGCGGGGGAGGTGGGCTGGGTGGGGGGTGAAGGCCGGCACCTGGTTCCACGGCAGGTTGACAGTGAAGCCTCGGCCCCGCCCCTGCCCAACTGCATCTGCATCTGACTCCCGCAGGAAAGGCCAAAAGCGCCCATGCTCGTAGCGGTGCCAGGAGAAATAAAGGACGCTGCGAACAGCCCACTGGGTCAGAGGTCATAGGTCAGGACCCTCATCCGCACCACGGCTCCTTGCAGAGCACTGACCCTGAGAAGACAGCTCCATCCCTCCCCTCAGGTTTTCCCAGGCCCAGCTGTGCACCCAAAAGTGGGGTGCAGGGCAGGGTGGTGTTGCCACCCCAGCTCACCTGGGGTCATCTTCAAAGACATACTGGATACCCTGGCCGTGATGGATGTCCCAGTCGACAATGAGAATTCTGGGGGTAGATGGTACCAGGCTGCTGTGGGGTGGAGCCCGCCCGCCCACTGCAGCTGGGATGGGAACTGCCCTTCCTGTCTGGCTTGGGCTCCGCCCCGCAGCCAGCCCAGCGCACACCTGTGCAGGCCGTGCTTCTGCTTGGCATATTCAGCCGCTACAGCCACATTGTTGAATATGCAGAACCCATTGGCCGCTGCTCTCTGGCTGTGGTGCCCAGGAGGCCTGAGGGTGAGAGTAGGGTATGGGCACGTCAGGGTCATCCTGGTCCTCAGGACCACCCAGGAGCCTGGCGGGTGTGAGTGGGGTACCGGGCGCGTCAGTGTCATTCTGCCCCCACAGGACCACCCGGGGCAGCCAGGCGAGGCAGCGCGCTCACCGCACCAGGGCGAGCCCGTTGCGCGCTGCTCCCTCCAGCACGGCATCCACCAGTTGCAGCGCAGCCCCTGCAGCCAGCTGGGCGCAGCGAAAGGTGCTCTGTGGGACAGAGGTGCCGCTGAGCCAGCCTGCCCGGCACCCTCCGCAGACCTGCTGCCACGCAGAACAGACCAGGAAGGTCCGAGGGGTTGGCCGTCGCCACAGGCAGGGCCTCGTAACTTGTGTGAACAGGGGTCCTGGCTGCGACTGGCAGTCGTGGGGTGAACACGCACAGGCACGCGGAGGGGCTTCTGGATGGCGGGTTACCGACAGAGGCCACGCACCGGGTGGAAGTAGACGGCATCATACTGTGAGGACAGCGCCTGGAGCTCCCCCTCGCCCAGGACCTGGGTGCCCCGAACCAGGGCCACGTACTCGGGGCTGCAGACGGCAGGCGGGCAGGAGAGACAGGGTCACTGGCCCGGCGCGGGGAGAGGCGCTGGGTTCCCGCGGGAGTGCCACGCACCCCTCCCTCGTGCCTGTAAGCCTGCACGCCCACCCACGGCGAAACAGGCGCCTGGGGGCGAGGCTCGTCGAGGCTGACAGGCCCCGGTTTGCAGGCGGGCAGTCCCGGCACCGGCGCCCGGGTCTGACCTGTGCACCAGGCTCAGCTCCGCCTCCGAGGCCTCGCGGGCTGACAACCGCAGACACCTCCGCTCCAGGCCGCACTGCCGCAGGCGGTCCAGGGCCGCAGTCAGGCGCTCGGGACACTCGATCCTGCACTCGGGGCTGGGGCGGATGCGAGCTCAGCGTCCGGCGCCCACGCCCCGCCCCCGGCCCGCCAGGGCGCACTTACTCGTCCCAGAGCAGCCGGGTGGCCGTC